GAAACCTATCGTATGATCCAGATAAAGACTTTTTGAATAATGTGGTAGACGAAAGAAATGAACAAAAAGGAAGCCAGGTACTTTTTGCCAAAGCTTGCAAAGTCCTACGCGGCCGGCAGGCTGTAATTTACATATTTACTGCTTCGTCTTACCTAGTTGCAGTGACAATGTCAGCCACCGTGCTGACAAAGCTCTCACTCGGGACAATGGCATTACTGTGGCTGCAGGGCTTGAAATGGAATTTGGAAAGTTTTCTTCCATGAAAGAATCTTCATACCCTCGCTCATCTACGCCAGCCCTGGGCAGAGGAAATCTCCCTTCACTCGGATTTTATTGAAGAAAAATCTCTTGACGCTGCTGCTATTGCGCAATCCTGCGCGGTCGCGAATGGGTAAAGTTACAGCTGCTTAGCGGACACCCTACTCGATGCCGATTAAATTCCTCTAACAAAGCATAAACCAGTACAACCTTGTACTCGTTGGGTCATCTGCTAGAAATGTGATTCATTAAGGTACATTGGTGGCTACTGGCTCGGCAGATTGTTCGATTAAAATTTTGGATGTTGAAAGAATGATCGCTCGCGAGGTAAGAGGTGAAATAAGCGAAAACGGACCAGACGCCAATCATCCTGTTATTCGGACGTTGTACGACCACCTTGATGTGAGTTTTTTTTTGGCAAAGTTGTGCTTTGTGTTCATCTCCGTACATTCATACTCCTTCTTCACGCTATCTTCTTCAAATGCTATTGAATGTGTTCATATATTTGCAGGAAGTAACCGTTGTGACTTTTCATCCGCGTGAACAAATTCTGGTATCCGGTTCCACTGATAAAACTGTCAAGCTTTTCGATTTCTCGAAAACAGCTGTGAAAAGGGCTATGAAAACACTTTCGGTAGGTAATACGAACACTTTTTTGTTTAGTGCATAATATCTAATGGTGCTTCACTTGTAGTATTGGTTTGCAGGAAGTGTTCCCGGTTCGAGCCTTGTCGTTCCACCCCGGTGGAGAATTCTTGTTAGTTACAACCGATCATCCTACTATCCGTCTTTACAATGTAGAAACGGCTCAGTGTTTCGTGTGTTCTGCACCAGGTGACCAGCACAAGGATGTGGTCATGGATGTATGTTCTTTCTATTTCATGACTTTTCTTTTCTTTGTTCATTATCAATATGTGAAAGGATCAGCGTTGACCATTTTTCTCGGGATGCGCTTCGCATTTTATTATACTTCCCTTCAGAAAGTAATTGCATTTTGAATGCGATTTGACTTATGCAGAACCTGGTAGAGGAAGAGGGACAGATGATGTAAACATCAACGTTTTGTCTTCCTAAAAGTCTGATTTGATTGAGGGCGGAAGTGGTGTAGTGGCAAGTGGCACGCTTACCACGCGAGCGGTCCGGGGATCAAATCCTGGGTCGTGAGTCGCCCGGGCCAACCAAGCCTTCCATCCCTCCGGGGTCGGTTAATTGGTACCAGACTTGTCTGGGAGGATAAAAACACTGACTTGTACATCGGCTGGCCCCCGCAAGTCATTGTATAGGCCACATCGCATTCAAACGCCACTACGAATGTACAAATGGAATACAATGGAA